GCTGCTGAACCTGTTGGAGAAGATCGCTGGGCTTTACAGCATCGCTCCACAACAGATCACACACATCTACCGCCAGAAGACCACAGGGATCCACGTCCTGGTATCTGACCAGGTAACGAGCGCCATTTAGTAGCCGGACCGAGCTGTGGTACCAGAACCGACTTGTTGCAGCCTGGCATCTTCATCTGGAGACGTTCGTGGATCAGTCAGCTGTTCTAGAATGTTCTCCCTGCAGAGCCCGGCGCAGGGAGCAACATGGCAGGGTTCAGCCATGTTGAACCGAAACATCGGGCTGATGTCTGCAGCATCTGCTGGTTCTGAGGTCCGCTACAGATTTCAGTGTTCTAACACAGTGGTCCCCAACCTTTTTATTACCACAGACCGGTCAAGACTTGGAAAGTTTGCTGCGGCCCGGGGAGGGGAGGGGGTGACAGGGAGCCAATCAGAAAGCGCGGTGACGTCAGAACAGAGGGGAATCCCAAACAGCTGACATATCGCTCAACTGAGAGTCCGGTGGATATCAGAGATGATATGTGGAAATGTTTATTATTATATGTAAAGGTCATTATTATATACGTTTATGTTTATTCAGTTAAAAATGTTAACTATGAAAAAACACAAATAGAGCAGCTTCTCCCTCCATCTTTTATCCACCTCTTTTTCTGTTTGTTTCTTTTATCTCTTAAAATGTCTCCACAAACTGTCACTATTGCTTCTACATCATCATCCGTGTTTGGTTATTCTAAATTCCCTTATTTAGGGTTGGGGGTTTTACTGGATTATCCTCTGGAATCGGGATGTTGGTGACTGGAATCGGTTCGTGTTGCTCCTGCCTTGGACACACGAACCGATCGAACCTGTTGGACTTTTATCAGCTCTCTGGTCACAGAGGTTTGGAGAATCGGCCGACATCCTTAAATCTTGCCGTCTAAACCAGACTTAAGACTCACAAGCTCATCTCATCTCATCTCGACCACTGCCCAAACGCTCTGACTCTGGTCGCTATGGTAACGTTTACATATCCCTTCAAAATAAGGTACAGATGCGCCACAAAAACGAACATTTTACTTTCGTGAAAATTTTGACTCAGGATAATGACTAACGGAGCCCTGAGCTTGTTTCTCTGCAACGAGACGGTCCCATCAGGGAGTGATGGAGACAATAACACCCGAAGTGTTGCTTATATCCACAGCCTGCTGGGTCTCTAGTGGCGAAGCAGTTTGAAGCTTCATTGCCTCATTAGCAGCCGGTCGCCGCATGTTACACAGAGCGGCTTGTAATGTTTGACTCACCTACCGGTCCGGGATAAATCCATCCTCCTGTCTCTTCTCTGGGCCTTTTCCCCTTTGCAAAGAAACCTGATCCGTTTCTTACTCATTTTGCTGCTTGTGGCTCAGTGTTGGCGAGCAAGTCACTGAGAGAATCCGGTTAAAGGATTTTCAAAATAAAACATCCTCCAGACTCAAATAATATATAAAACGGAAATATTTAATTATTTCTTGCGCGGCCAATTGGTACCAATTGGTACCGGGCCGCGCAATTGGAACCACTGTTGGGAACCACTGTTCTAACAGAACCGGTGTGAGTTGCTTCTAGAACTCATTAGTTAGCAGCTCATTAGTGCGTCCGGCCCAACTCCCGATCCAAACGACTGAATCCTGTCCTGCTAACGATCCAATGATGGTTAATGGGGCGGAACAGAACATGTTGACCCAGACACATCCAGAAGTTGCAGGACTGCACTTCCTGTCTGCTACAGGAAGTGGTGGGGATGGCTCAGTTGCAATACTGCATGAGCATCCAAACCTGAAGCTGTGGCCCGGTTCTGGACGGGTCTGATGGTTCTGTCTTCAGCCTCAGCAGGTGAAGCTGTGGTTGCTAACGCGTTAGCATCAGTAGCAGCTGAAGAAGAACATGGTGGTCAATAACTGGGTTTAACTACACCAGAACCAGAACCAGTAGGAAGGAGACAGCTGCAGTCAGGTTGCTTGTTTATGACCACAGGACCAGGAGTAAAGCTGTATGGTACCAAACTACATGTTCTGGTTCTGGTTCTGTTTCAGATGGTGCAGAACTTGGGAGAAGAAGCCAGTTTTCTCATCAGCACCATCAGAGGTAAAGCTGTTCCTGTGGGCTATAACGGTGCCACCATCAGGCGGTCCTGATCATCACTGACCCAGTTCTCCTCTGAGCAGATGAAACTTCTGACGGCTACCATGTCGTGATGAAATGAGCAGCAGGGGGCGCCGTCAGCGCGGCTGTACAGACTTTACGTCAGTAATTCAGTGGAACTTCAGATCCATCTTGATTTTGGATGTTTTCTGTAAATCATTGTGCCTGGACCAGCAGAGAAGGACTCCCAATCAGAACCGGTTTTCATCACTGGCAGAACAGAAACACGGACGACCAAACCTTTCCACCTCTGGGTTTTATTGACGGGTCAGAACAGAACAGGCTTGTTTTCAGGCAGCAGAGGGAACCAGTTTAAACTGGGAACAGCTAGTTTTAATTAGCATTTTGCTCTAAATCATATAATTTATGGCTGTATGTTGCATGTTTAGAAGAATAATGTGGATTTTATTTTGCTGCATAAGAACTGATGTGATGAGAACGGCTCCTAAAGCTAAGCTAAAGCTAAGCTAAGCTAAAGCAGATGCACTTCTGCCTGAAAATGCAAATGGTAGAATAAAAACTTTTGATATGTTGGAAAGATGTGAAATAATACTGCAAATATTAAAATGTTTTCTCTGTAGCCAACAGTTTGTTTTATTGTGATCTGGATTGATGGATGATGGATACTGGAGCAACCAGCCACAGACTGGGGGAGTCCACTGGGACAGACGGTCCAGTTTTGGACCTGAAGCCTCTCCAGGCTGGATGGTGTCAGGAGAATCAGGATCAGGTTTATTGCAGTAGAACAGTTTAGAAATAAGGTTTAGTTTCCCTCAGTTGTACCTGCTGCAACGTGACGCCTCTACAGATTCACACTAAGATACAAATATAAGAACAGCAGAGCAAACAATGAGGAGCCAGAACAGTTAAATACTGTGCAGTTATGAAAACCAGCGTGCTCCCTTCCAAAGGCGTGTGCAGCTCAGTGGGATCATGTTTCAAATTTATACATGTAACATTTAATTGTTAAATAGTAATAAATTAAATGTTTAAAAAAATTGTATTTCTCTTAAGCACTATATGTATTTGATACCTTAATCCTGAACTGCATCAATATACTGTCCTAGTTAAAACAAGTGAGTGAAGTTGTATATCAGAGCAGGTTTGTTTTGTTTCCTTTCTGCCGCCGAACATTCAGGACTGGAGCAAAAACCATGTGAGGTCCTGGGCTCTGCAGCTGGACATTAGCAGCCCAGTCTACTGCTTCTAGATGCTTCAGATCTAACCAGTACGGGTCTGACGTTTGGACCAGCTAAACTTGTCATTCATGCCAGAGAGAAGGTGATGAACTCAAAGAGCCAGAAGCCAGCCAGTTCCTGCAACAAGCCTGGAAAACCCAGCAAGCCATTTCCGTTCGGTAGATACCACGACACATTCAGATACGAAGAGGCCAGCGTTCTAGATGTCACAGAATCTGGTGCTTCAAGTTCACCTCTGAGGTCAGTTCAGTTTGCAGCTGCCTGCACCAATGGTACCATACATTTTGGAATAGGAGACAGGCCAGACTTTGTTCATGGTCAGGTTTTGGGAGTGCTTCTTAATTACAAACAAGCATATGCTAACAGCCTACAGTCAGCCATCAAACCGTTGAGGTTATGAACAGAAATACATGAAGTGGACATTGAGCCTCAGTCTGCCATCTGTGAAGAAAACATCTTCCACACTTACAGCACAAAAAAGGCATGAAGACCAAAGAAACTGAATCACAACCACCAAAGTCTCTCTACATCCGAGACGGTGGCAGCAGCAGAGACCTGCTAGCACCAAGCACATCTTCCACGGTAGGGTACCACACCTTCACTGGCCAAATGCCTCAACTGTCACTGCTCCGCAAGAACGCAGAGGAGAAGCACTTCAAAAGAATAAGGAGCACAACTCAAGGCTCCAGGTTAACTCGCATGATAACCGGTGGAACCCTGTCATAGGAAAAGTCCCACTTTGAGCGTAATGTGATCATGACAAGCAAATCTCATCCAAGCCATTTTGAACATCTGGGTTTCCTCATAGAGCTTCACCCAACTGCTGCTTTAGACTTTGACCCTGACTCAGGTAAACATGGATTACAGACTTACTTTGACCAGCAGAGCACTGTGAGCCCACATTTACCTGGGGGTTGAAGACGTAGCTAACAAACTGAAGTTAATTCAAAACACCAGCTGGGTTTTCTGCAACAGAGAGATTGAGCATGAGGCGCCCTCAGATGTCGAGGCGCCCTTCGCTGATGGACAAGGGCGCCTCGGTTTGAGACACGATTTCTTTCTTGTGCTGGAAGGATGAGCTAAACAAGAGGTTCCTTGTCATTTTCTTACTTTTATCAGCAGTGAGGGAGGAAATGGATCCCCTTGTTGAGACCTTCAGGATGTTCCTGCAGGAGCTCAGAGAGCCAGGACAAATCCTCTGTATCTGTGACAATGAGAACACTTTCATTTCATGGAGGGATCTCATTGAGGCCAAGTGCAGAGTCGACATCTCTGACAGATGCATCTCTGAGCTCAGCTTTGCTGAAGTCAATGGAACCGTCCTCAGTCTCTGGTCAGAGAACCGCAGAGCCAAACGGTTCCTGCCATGTGGGGGTGAGAGCAAGGTGCCTCTTGAGAAAAGATTTGAGCAAACCTTGAATACTTTGGAGATCTTGTGTGTGAATCAGTGTGAAGGAGGAAATGAGGACAGAGCTGCCATAGAGGAGAACTTCTATAGAGGTGGGAAGGTATCATGGTGGAATTTCTATTTCTCTGAATTACCTGGATCAATACCATTCATTAAACGGGTCCAGTTTGATTACATCATGAATACAGTTATACCAGACCTATGCTCCCTACCAAAAGCTTGTGTCGTCTTCCACCTTTATGGAGATCTGGTGTGCTGAGACGCAAGATGGCGCCGGTGTGTGTGGCTGCTTATCTGTCATTCTCCCGTTTCCTTATGTTTATACTGTTTCTGACCTGTGTCATCTATAGAACTGAATCTCTGCTGGTATATGATCGCAACACACTACTAGACCTCCAACCTTTGGTCCAGGATATGATGTTATTTGATGTTGTTGGCCAACAATCCTTGCCCTCGATTCTGTTGGAGATTCCTAGTCACCTGTTCCGGATTCCTGCGCTGCTTTCACGGCCGAGACGTCGTCGTCGTCGTGGTAGACGAAGCGGCTGGCTGGTGAAGCTGAAGTTTTATCTGATCATCGCATGGATCATTTCTAGGCTCTTGGCATTTCTTGGATCCCGTTGATGTCTGCTTGGTGCCCGTGGTCGGCGTTGAAGCCCCTCTACACTGTGCCGGGTTTCCCGACCTGTTGAAGCCCAGGATCCAGTTCCTGTCAGAATCGGCCTGATAAACCCCAGGTCGCTTGCGAATAAAACTTTTATTCTTCGGGACTTTTTCCAGTCACCCAAACCTGGATTTTCTGTGTGTGACTGAGACGTGGCTGAGTGTTGGTGAGTCCAGTGCTCTAACTGAGCTTTTACAAGCGGACTGTTCTTATTTTAACTCACCAGGGGCTTCGGGGAGAGGCGGAGGCACAGCGACTGTTTGCAAACGGGACTACAGATGTAAGCAGTGTTTTCTACAGACGTCTTTCCCCAGATTTGAGTTTATGTCATTTGAGATGAGACACGTAAACCCAGTTTTCTGTGCTGTCGGCTACCGGCCCCCCAAATATAATAAGGATTTCATAAGCGACTTCTCTCACTTTTTAATCTGGGATTTTAACTAACTATGAACATGTTCTTGTTGTAGATTTCAATATACACGTGTGTTGTCCCGATAAGCCTCTGGTAAAGGACTTTTTAAGCCTTCTGGACTCCTTTAGCCTGGTGCAGGCCGTATCCGGCCCTACAGCACCGACACACACTGGACCGGGTCATTTCCTGCGGTCTGCCTGTGACTAACCTGGAAATCTGTGACTCTGTGTTCTCGGATCACCTGCCTGTTTTATTCAGTGTCAGTTTGACACCTACGGCAGTTAAAACTCGCCCCTTCCACTGCTTTTCTCCAGCTCTGTGGATCATCTGACTTCTTCCACTTTGATACAGAAGAGCTCTGGTCCTGGTTCTATTCTTCCTGTCAAACCATCCTGGACTCGGTTAAAAACCAGGCAGCCAAGGATTAAACCTGAGCCTTGGTTTAATGACTGACCTCTGCTGTCAGGAAGGAATGTCGCCGCAGGTGGAAAAAGGATAAATTGCAGGTTTTCACATTTTTAAAGACTGTTGGCGTCTCTACCAGAGCAGAGTTAAAGAGGCAAAAGGGAATATTTAGCGAATATAATTTCCTCAAACAGCCATAGTCCACATGTTTTATTTAACACCATTGACTCTGTGCTTAATATCCCACAGGATGCCTGTTTGGAAGCTTCTCCTGACATGTGTGATCATTTTCTGTTTCTTTATTGAAAAGGTTGGTAGTACCAGGGCTCTGACTCTGACCCCTCTGCTTTCACTCAGTTTGAGCCTGTGACCGTCTCACTTTTAGAGGACGGGGTTGGCCATATTAAGCCATCAGGTTCCCCCTGTGATCCTGTCCCTCCACGACTTTTTAAAGATATTTTACCTAGTATAGGGCAGCCTGTGCTTGCAATTATACATAGCAGTCTGTCCTCAGGTGTGGTCCCTGCTAGTTTTAAACATGCAGTAGTGCAACCACTGCTTAAAAAACCTGGCCTTGATCCGACTGTTCTGGCTAATTATCGGCCTATTTCGAAGCTGCCTTTTCTTTCTAAGGTTTTAGAAAAAATTGTATGCCGTCAGCTGAAACAGTTTTTAGATGAGAATGGCATTCTGGAGGTTTTCCAGTCAGGTTTTAAAACTCTTCATAGCACAGAATCTGCTTTAATAAGAGTTTTTAATGACTCTTATTAAAAACGTGTGATTTTGGTAACCATGTTGTTCTGATTTTACTTGACCTAACTGCTGCCTTTGATACAGTAAACCACGACATTTTAATATCGCGATTACAGCATATTGTAGGTATTGGTGGCAATGTTCTTAAATGGTTCTGGTCTTACCTGGAGGACAGAACATTTTCAGTGAATATTAGTGACTCTGAATCATCTGCTGCTTCAATACCTTATGGTGTCCCGCAGGGCTCAATTCTGGGCCCACTGCTTTTCTCTCTGTATTTACTGCCTCTGGGTTCTGTCCTCAGGAAACATGGGATTTCATTTCATTGTTACGTTGACGATTGTCAGATTTATTTGCCCCTGAAGCAGAAGGATGTCCATTCCATCAAACATCTCCTGGCATGTTTCCGTGATATTAAAGGCTTTGAACTTTTTAAATTTTAATGAAAACAAAGCAGAGGTGATGGTGTTTGGACCCAGTGGCTCCTGTGAGTCCTCCTCTGTGGACCTGGGACCTTTGGAGGAATATTTTAAACCTGTTATTACAGATCTTGGTTTTAAGGTGGACAGTGATCTCAGATTGGACGGCCAAAGTCCAGTTTTTATCATTTAAGGCGATTGGCGTCAGTGAAATCTTTTCTTTCCAGGCAGCATTTTGAAACAGTGATCCAGGCTTTTATTTCGACTCGACTGGATTACTGTAACTCACTTTATCTGGGAGTCAGTCAGTCGCTGCTCTCACATC